TAGAGACTTCTATATTACAACTGATTTTAGTCTAGACTCTAGACTATTCACTTCACTCACTCCTTGTGACTTACACAAACCTCTTTTACTTTCTCATCGACTGTTTCCTAAGTAGGGGCAAANTTAAATTGTTTAAATTTTAAAGGTAGAAAATATTGATCAAGCAAGCGACGGAATGTCTATGGATAATCACAAAAAGTTACGTATTTTTTTCGCGGAGCGACGATCGACTTATCTCACCTCCGCAATGGCAGGAGCGCGACTGACGTTAACCGAATAGAACACAGTGATTGGTTGATGGTGTTCGGTTTAACGGCAATTTGTATGATTACTCAAAATTTTAGGTACCTAAAATCGTGTGACCAACGTATTTTCCTTCCTCAATTCGAAATAATTATAAGTAGATATTTTTTTGACTATTGTGTGGAAAGTATATTTTATTACGATGATTTTAGTATATGCTACACACAAATTAAATGAAAATTGTGAATGCAGTAACCAAATGTTTCATTGCAACCGAAGGTGTGACACGATGAGAACGCGAAAAATGACACCGTTTTGTATCGTTTCATGTGATGTTTTCGTATTATTTTTGCTTCTATTACGATAAAATTTATTTTGTATGTAGCTAAATAGATATGTTATCACCTGATTTCAAAGTTATTGTTCTAACTTATACCGTTTATGAACTATTATTGTGTGACCATCAAATTTCAGTGTAAATGAGAAGTACCCAGAAGATTCCTGTTTTCACTAGGAAATCGGGTAACAAAAAGCTCTTTCCATTTTAGACCAAGGTCGGGGAGCATATCGTTTTTAAGGCATAAGGCTTTAGACACTTCAGACCTGGACGTGTTGGTGGAAAACTTCTTCAAAGAACATTGGTTCGATGAAAGGGAAGAGCACCAGAGGTTCGAAGAAGAGTCAAAGTGCATCATGAGAGCCGGCCACAGTCTCTACATAAAAACAATAGACGCATTTCCAGACGTAACTTACCAGTACGTAATGACTCGTTTCTTGTGCTTCTATCTTATCTTACAATTGATTCTACGACACTTCACTTTGACTTTTTTCCAAAAGCATTAAAGGCCTTACTTATTACAAACCTCTCTTATGCCCGTTTTCACCATCAATCCCAAATTTTTAAGTGTCCCCTAATTCCTGTTATGTGTTCCATAGGGGTCACTTAAATGATGGTGAAAACGGGCATTACTCACTCATCGAATGTTTCCTTAGTAAGGGCAAATCGTACAAGTTTCATTGGGTATTAATCGACTAAGTCGCCGGATGATTTAGGATTTAATTTCGCGTCTGCGATCCCCGATGTTATTGCCTCAATCTTAATCTGTTTGTTTTCGACGCTGCTTAATCAAGATGCTAATTCAAATGTTGTAAGCCTTGCTCATGTTTTATTGGATTTGCTTCTCTCGTATGAGAACTCGCCTTTGGACAAACCAAATTATTTTGTCTTGTACAGTGCGATGAATTTGAAGCTAAAAGTTAGGGAGTTAAATCAATTTCCATGTTATGTAAAATCTGGGGGCACGGTAGTGCCCCCACCAATTACCCTTTTCTACTAAATATTTACTTATTGAGGACCAAACTGAGAGATTACTTATGGATGCAAGATCTATAATGTAAGCCATGATCTTTGGCCATGTTGTTCAAAAGTTGAGATCTCAATCCGGAGGTCCTGGAATCAATGCTAAGTGGGACTTTGAAGAATCACAAAAAATCCATCCATTTTGGTCAATGTACCTCATTATCCGAAAAGAAATATGAAATTGGTAGGCTGGTAGACCTAGGTAAGAACATAGGCCATAGAACATAAGAATCAATCAATCGTTTCCTATCGAATCCTACTACCTTATAATAATTTTCCCCGCCAACATATTATGAAACTACAATCTTTAATCAATCCAAACCCATTAAAATGTATTAATAACAAGATGGAGCGCGGCCCCAAATTAAATTCATACTCATTAATCAAATTCTAACTTGGAACTTGTAGAACAATGATACGTTAACCCTTACCTAGATTACAATCGCGACTTAGGTGGCCCCACGGGCCAGGAATGCCAAAAATGTAAATTAAAGGGTTAACCATAATACGAGTATCTGTTATCAAGCTATGTAGACGATTATACATTTTTGTTCCGAAATAGCCTTTATTTCAATGAAATAAGACTCCACCCATGTTTATCTTGACGTGGTGTCGTCAGTACAACTCATGTTTGTAATTAACTTAGTTCTAATGAGTTCGGATAAAAAACCGCCAGTAATTATGACAAATTGTGATTAGAAGTTTTTTTTAGGAATTTAGGCAGGTTATTTTGTAAGTATTATTATAGGGGCGAAGAGCGTGACTCAGAAAGTGTATTGCAGCTCGATGGATAGACCTCCTCAAGAAATAAGCTGGGAGTGCACGAATGAAAAAGTGGGAGAAAAGTACGTCCAGCGGTGGACTGGTTGAAATGATTCTGGCGCAAAAAGGTAGGTAATGAAAGATGTGATAGAGCAGAAATAGTGGCTTTTGAGTAACAATGAATTTGGCTCTAGATTATACAAATAGTCACCTTTATTGTGAAAAGTAAAATAATTCGTTGCCTACTGTGTTGAACACTAGTGAGAAAACACACGATCACATTTCGCCAACAACACAAGAATAAACTCAACAACAATAAACTTTTATTACAATATAAATACCGAGTTTTACATAACATTCACATAAAACCGCGCGCCTTATTACGAAACTTTTATTGTTTTAACTCACAAAGTAACATGTAAAGTCGTTTACGGAAAAAAGAAACCCACATGCTGGTCCATAAACAGATCACGGCTCGGACGGCTGCCAATTCGCCATGCAGCACGACAAATTAAAGGAGACCCTAGAAATACTAGGGTTGACTCGTGAAAAAGGCGTCCCATCATAAAAAAGGGTAGTGGCAAGTCTCTGCTTACGCTGGTCGCGTAAGTTATTCAGCCAGCCGTCATTACGAATAAACTGACCAATTACAATAAATTACTGGCCACGTATAGAAAATAAAACTGCCATTTTGGTAAGTAAATAAATAAATGAGTAATTAATGTAGGGACGTGCGCGCGCTGGCCGTCTGCCGGAATACGAATCTGAGCATTAAAAAGTATTAACATCGGTTAAGGAGCGAGTCGGTGGCCGGTTTTTATTTGTCGACGGTACCAATTAGTGCGCGTATGGCAGGAAGTGCTGCCGCCTGGCCTGCTGACGGTACGCGTCGAACTTGATGGACTACGGTTGCCACCCGTTCGGTTTTCAAAAAGGAATGTCCTCTTTTTCACTGATTCGAATTTCGAACGGTCGATTTGGGTTGTCACCGTTTTATCGGTTGGGATCTTTGATTTCTGGGTTGAGCCGTTCTCATGGTGCATCTGAATAAAAAGAAATGTGTTTTAAGTTTAATTTAAGAAGGGTTAAAAAGCGTCTACATTATGTAAAAGTAAGGATTTAAGAAATTGCTGAAGCTGGATACTAAAATTTTCATTTCTAAACTCTACCTGTTCTGGGTTCTGTAGCAGGCTTTTAGAAAACATTTGGGATGTCTTCTCTCTGAAACACCGTCTCAATTCTGTCAAATTCTTCTTTTTGAAGTTGGTTATGAAGACATCTTTCTCGGTCGCTTCTAGGCACATTCTAGGATTTGTCTCTATTTTGGTTACAAAGGCTGGTGGACCTATTGCCAGCCTGAAGAATTATGGTCGTTTTTTCAGTCTAACTAGTTGAAGCTGTTATCAGATGGACGGACGATTGATAGAGATATTGTCTGCAAATTGCGCGTGTCACTGTTAATTGGATGATTCATATTTTTATTGCCATTTGTTTCTTTGGTGATGGTTATGCTTCAAGCGTTAGTAATTAGGTTTGTCTAGTATGTAAAGTTGCGGCATGTAAAATTGATACATATGTTAGCCTGTTTAAAACACCTTTATTTCTAAACGAGTCTTCTTTAAAAGACCAATTTAATCTTTCCAGATTATCAAGGTCAATCAAATCGTGATAGTAGAAAACAATGTTACCGCGGTCTCATGCGACCACTTAGGCTGGGTTGCGCCATCTNAAATAAATCTTACTTTGATTTTAACAAACGTCAAAAATCTGTCAAACTCCATACAAAAAGCACCGTTATCGTTATAGTTACCGCAAAAGTAAGATGGTGCAACCCAACCTTAGGATTCCACGAGTTAAGGAAAAGTAGGTACTAGGTACTCCATACCCCAATGTAGAGCGTATTTTTTGCAAGGTGTATTTTATCCAGTATAGATGCTCCTTATTTATTACCATATAATTATTTACTCTTTAAAGCCCGACCAGGAACATAAAAACCCTCGCCATGTTGCGGAAAACTAATGGTACTAATTTCTTTTAATGGCAACAGTAACTGAAAACTTCATTGACATGTCACCTTGCATGTCAGTCTATTGCTGTCAAAGTGTAAACAAACTTTATTTTAAATGTGCGCAATTGTTTTGTGAATTAAATTGCTAAAATCTTTTTATAGTCGTGAAAGAAAAGTGGTTCACAATGTGTTAAAGTATTTGTCGAAGAGAAATACTAAGGGTTCGGATAATATTTTCATTGAATAATGTTTCCGACAAAGGTTGTCAAATTGACTGACATGTTTTATCGTATAGTACAGTCCACTATGAAAACTAGCTATGGGTTGTTTCAACTACCTATTTTAAAGTTTTTTGTCACTTTCTAAGTGATGAATTTTATGGAATTGGGAAAGAAGTACCGATGCGATGTTTATTGCCAATTTGCTGTACAATCCAATTTATTTAGAACCTGGTGACAATAATACTGCCATGATATTTTCATAACTATTCAAAGTTTATGTATGACCTATTTTATTTTATGTTATCTACACGAACCAAAAAAAGGATTCCTTCTGAAGATAAAGGCTTTATCACATTTTCATAACTTAAACAAAAATTAAAACCACAAATTGTACTAATAACGAATTTATAATTTAATCAATAATTTACAAATGCTTCTTCAAGTTGCCCTTAGAATTAACTATGTATTTAATATTCGTTCCTACGCGTACAAAATATTCCGAACGTTTTGTTTACTTTGAGAAAAATCGAGTTTTTGATGACGTCACAAAATATACAGAGACAGGGAAAGTTTGGAAATTAACTTACCTCAATTTAAGTACCTACCTAATTTTATACAATAGCATTTTGCATTTAAAAAATCTAGTAGTACATAAAAGATCGTCCATACTTTTATCTAACATACGCACATAATAATTTATTAAAGTAATTATTTACAAGTTGATTTATACATCAAGAATAAAGAAGTTATTGCCAATCAATACAAGTTTCTTAAAGGCTAACTTTTCTGCATACACTGACTGTAGCATATTATTATCTGCAAATATTGTGAAAAGTTTAAATAAAAAAATGTTCATGTAAGTAGGAAAAAACTATTTGTACTCTAAAACTTTTCTCAAATATTTTTTAAGAGGGTCAATACTCGCATTCGTTCTTTAATTTTGTTGAAAAAAACTTTCATGAATTTTTGGCGGGAACACTGACAGTGACACTTGCCTGTCAGTGACGGCAAAGAAATAAAAAAGAACCAACGTAAAATGAAATTTTGAACCCACGTCTTTTAATGAACAGTTACCAATTAATTTATTCATCGCAAACAAGAACATTGTTGCCAGAGGCCATTTCCAAGAAGTTTACATTCGAAGGGCCGTTGAAAAGCACAAATAGATAAAAAACTGCCTGTTTAAAGCCCATTTAAGGCAACTACTAGCAAATAGGTTGATATTATTGGATACTTTACATTAAGAAACTGACTTCGAAAATGAATTAAAACTCGTAAAACTAAATGGAAGTAGCAATTACAAGTCATTGAATTGAAACTGACTAATTAAATGGTAAATGAACGGCTTGTTGTAGATCTAATGTGGTGGTAAAAAGTTACAAGGGTTTAGAGTTGCCAATTGAATTAAGTTGAGTGCTGACTTTGATCCAAGGCTCGGAACCGGTTTGAAAAATACCGTTATTGTTATGTTCTAAGTATAACGTTATTTACATACATTTCGTTCTGTGCTAAAACTAAATTCATTTGATCTTTGTATTTAAAGGCGCTTAAATTATATTTTAGTTATTACAGTTGAGTCACCTCTCCTAATTTCTGACATAGACATAATAGTTATTAGAGAAAAACTAAAAACAGAACAGAGGAATTAATCCTTTTAGGTTTGACAACCCTTTTCAAATCGGTTGCAGTAGATTTTTAGTAAACTAATATTAGATAATTCTTATTTTTTCATTATTATGTAGAAAATAAATAACATGTTTTGATGAGATGACTTCATAGGCTTCGAAGGGTACGTTAAGCCTTTTGACAAAGTTAACCGCTCATGGGTTTTATAACCCATAAATAAATAGAATAGAAAAGAAACCGGCTATAAAAAGCTAAGTGTGACAGATCACGTAACAAGTATTTTTGAGATCTGAACTCAAGTCTTGAAAAATAGGAACAAAAACACATAGCATAGGAATAACTTAAACAATTGTAGCTTGAATAAAAAAAATAGTAATTTAAATAAATAAATCTATAGGATGATTCTATACCAACTTATACGCAACAACATTATTTTACTTAAAATCTAGTTAAGTAGCAGTTAAGTTGAAAATTGCACTTATTGTTTGATATAATTTTGTAAAATACATGACTACATAACTGAAGTATACGGAGCTTATCATGATACTTTTATACACTGTCCTTAATTTTTTAAACATCCTTAAAAAGAACGAACACTTTATTTTTAATGTCTTCACTATCACATGTTCAACCAGTTTTGACAGTTCGAAATTCGAAATTTCAAATTTTCTCCCGCACTAAGATGGCTGGTCGTCGTTTTCGCGCGTTCCCGCGTTCTCTAGTCGTCAATGTGGTTGGAGGGAGTTTAGTATGTTCATGTTTATGGCGTGCTGGTGGGTCGGGGGGCCTCCTAGGAAGCTGAGCTGGGGCCTGGTGGCCGCGGCCATGGCTGCGAAGAGGGGGGGCGCCCCTCCCCCGCCGAAGAGCGCAAAGGACGGAGGGAGGAGGGGTCGGGCTGACAGCCGAAGTTTCTCGATTTCAGCCTCTTGTAACCGTTTCGCTTTCGCTCGTCTGTTCTGGAACCAGATTTTGACCTGGAATAGAGAAATTTAAAGTTAGCATAGTAAAGCCAAAGATATAAGCGATATTAAATCTGCTCATTTTGTATGGGCCTCTCGGGGCCTGGCTTGGCGAACTAGCTCCACAGAAGATTCTTACTTCATTGGGGTTTACCTACATGTTGTATGAGGCATATTAGTATCAAATGTGTTCTTGGCACCAGATAATAATTATGTCGTCCCGAAGTGGTGGTAGAGCAGCTTTTACATAGTAATGTAGACCATTTTCAAGGCATTTATGCAGTTCACTATGAAGCCCTTATTCATAATTTATCAACTAATGCGTTTCGAGAATATTATTATTAACATGAAAAACTTTTAAGTGCTAGATTACTTAGTAAGAGGACTTATTTAGTAGTGAATTTAGGGCCAATATTTCATTAGTAGCGAGGCTTAACGCCTATGGCCTACACCATTTTGATGATTGTTTGTTGTATTTTTCTTTACCTAAAGAAACATTTGACAGAGAGACAAAGGTGACTTCTTCCGCCACTTCTTCTCAGCAGCGGCCCATATGTTGTCCCGAAGTGGTGGTAAGGCAAGTTATATTTGGGACATGTAATAAACACCAAGTACTGATTAAAAGCTTTGAATTTGACTAAAAATAAGAGTAAATATACCTGCGTCTCAGTAAGCCTAAGCGACGAGGAGAACTCGGCTCTCTCAGCGATGCTCAGGTACTGTTTGTCCCTGAACTTCTTCTCCAAAGCCAGGAGCTGCTGCGTGGTGAACGGCGTGCGGGGCTTCCTGTTGGGCTTGTGCTTGCGGAGCTGGCACCGGACCACGGGGGGGCCGCTGGGAGGGCCCGCTGGGGGGAAAGTGGGGTTAGAAATGTTGAAAAGAGGTATTATCTTACTAATATTATAAATGCGAAAGTTTGGATGTCTGGATGTTTGTTACTCTTTCACGCAAAAACTACTGAACAGATTTCGATGAAACTTTACAGTATTATTGTTTATAACCCAGATTAACATATAGGCTATACTTTATGACGATCTGTGACAAACAAAATTTCACGCGGGTGAAGCCGCGGGCAAAAGCTAGTTACACGTAAATTAACAATTTAACATAGGTCATTTCTCTAAAAAAAGAACGTAAGTATTTTTTTCTGAAACAACAACAGAAGTACGAGTAGATATTAAGGCTGAGTTGTACCATTATTATTCTGTTGAATGGCTTCAACGACCATTTTTTATCCATAACGAGGAAGCTCTTGGCCTGTCTTACTTTAACTTTAACAAATGTTCAAATCTGTCAAACTCTACATATACATAAAACACCGGTTAATGTTAAAGTTAATTGGTGCAACTCATCCTAAAATGTTGTAAATGCAACGTAAATAAGAGTTTTCTACTCGTATTGTGATCTGACTGAAATAATGTAGTCATCATGACTGTGGCAATTTGTTACATGGTCATCCTACATTCTTTCTGATATCGTGATTTGTAAAAAAATTAAAATGATGTAAAAATAAAGCAAAGATGTGTCCTACTTATGGCAGACAGGAAGCGTTAGTACTTGTAAGTACGCGGAAAGACATTACGAAATAACAAACATTTTACAAAATTAATATTTGACCACAAAATTAAACATTAAACTCATTTAAAACGTCACAAAACAGCATAGTTTTGCATTTTATTTTACTACAGGTACACTCGTAACACCTGATTCGCGCCACAAGACCGCTCGGAACCGTTTCTCGGAAGAGACGTGTCCGCCATTTTCCACTCGGTTGCGGAAATTGGCGCGAAAATTGACGTTGGGCGGCCAGTATTAATTTGCGTACTGTCAGTCAGGGTGACGTATAGTTGGCAAGTTAAAATATGTTTTTGTTTGTGGCCAGTGTTTTATATTAATGAGAATCGTGAATTAAAAAAAGATTGTGTTTTTTTTCTGATTCTCAAGCGTTGCATAAATCATAAGTCTATTGAGTTTGGAGATATTGCATTTTTAACATTAGAAGCAATATCAAAATTTTAGATGTCACAGTACCTAACAAAGAAACATTACTAAGGCTGATTTGCACCACCTAAATTTGACCGTAACTATAACGATAACCGGTGTTTTTTGTATGAAGTTTGACAGATTTTTGACGTTTGGCAAAGTTAAAGTCATATGGTGCAACCCAGCCTAAGATTTTGTTCTTTTAAATTCACGCATCATCTCTCACCTCTGAAATCATTTATTTTTTAAGAACTTGATTTTTTGTACGACTATAATGCAAACACAAGTAAAGGGCTTACTCATTTAGAGTTCAGTATCTCCCTTTGCTACGGTTCCGTAGTTGGTAATAGCGTTTCTATTCCCGTTGCGTGAAATCCGTAGTAAAACGAGATGAAATGGGTCGTTCCCTTAAGATATTTTAGGCTAGTTACAACTATGTAACGCTTCATTATTTTAACTTAGTTGAAGTTAATTAGTTTTACTTTTAATAGTTCTATTTATGACTCAGCCCTGGTCAAAAGTGTCACGTCAAATATTTAGCCCTAAAATAAGGAAACCTGATAATACAGACATGTATTAAGTTAAATACATTTCACTTTTAACCACTAGACCAATAAGACGTTTTCATTAAACAGACTCAAACAATAGTCTTCATTTGTTTTTCAGTCATTTCAGTCAAATATAAATCATCATCATCATTTCAGCCATAGGACGTCCACTGCTGAACATAGCCCCAATGATTTCCATATTGACTGGTTGGTAGCGGTCTGTTTTTAAGTCAATTGACATCAACTTATATCAACCTATACGTATTTGATATCTGAACTAATAGACTTTTTTAATAAGTTTATTAGTTCATTATGAACCACCGCGCCGGCCATTATAGGCTATTTAGCGGGCGGAAGTGGCACAATGGCGCCCCCTGTCGATCGCGGCGTCATTATACAGCCGATCGCGTACCATTCAAACGGTAGGTAAATTGATTCAGCATATAACAAGGAACAGTAGGGACTAAAGCAGTTTGCCGACCAAGAGCTTTTGGAAATCACGGTTTCAACATTGACACTTGTATAGATTTGACATACTCCTGATAATATATCAGACCAATAAAGGCTCGAACGTGGTCGCCCCAAATCAAATTGGCGGGGCACTGTAGTAGACGAGGCGAAGAAGATCGGCAAGACTTGGAGCGTGATCAAATGCGAAGCTCAAGACCGAACGCGATGGAGGACTGTTGTGGACGCCCTCTGCCCCATCTAGGGGACATAGGACATTAAATCAATAAAGACTCGATGGCACCAAAAAGTTTCACAGGAGGATAGTGCATTATTTGCGTATTACAGAACTAAGCTCAAAAACTAAGAGCTAAGCTAAGTCAGTTCAGCTTAGCTCGCATAGCTGACGCAGTTTCTTATAATGTTTGTATACCTTGCAGATTGCAAAACTATGGAAAACTGCATCAACTATGCGAGTTAAGCAAAACTAACTCAGCTATTCTCTTAGAATGCAACCCGCATGAAGCTCGATTTCCACCAAAGCGGAGAGGAGAGGAGATTTGTGTTCGAATCATCAATCGGATTTCAAAAACCACAGCAAAGACTTGAGCGTGGTACTTATAATGGAAATAAATAAATTAACTGTTGCATCAAACGTAGCGCATGTAGCGCATATTATATGGATTTACATTAACTTAGTTTACTAGTTAAGTGAATAATTGTGAAGAGGAGCGGTTCTTCCCAACACAGGCAATGTCTTGCCTAAAGGGAAGTTCCTACCATAATCTGTATATTATTAGACTAAGTATACGAAAATAAAATTATTATTATTATAGACTTCATCATGATTCAAATACGCCATCTCCTCTCATCTCCGCTTTGGAGGAAAATGGGCCCGAATCTTGGTGTCCCAATGCGGGATCGTGAGTCAATTGAGCTAACTACTTCAATACACCTGAAAGTCAACTGACCGATTAACAGTTCATTATAAATAAAATAAAAGTCTCTCAGACGTAGATTCTGTCATGTGTTGGTTTCAATTTCGAAATTCAGTCAATTAAGCATCAATCTATGTTTGAAATTGAAATTGCTTCTGATGTCACAATCACAATCCTAGTATCAAACTATAATGCCCTCGCCCCTACTAGTAGACCGATACATTGTCAAAGCTGACGTGACATCGGCGTAATATTGTCATTCCAAAACGTTTGTTGTCACTATAGCTACAGAAAGCAGAAGAGCCTACTACGTACATTTTCCTTGCGCCGATATTAAACGGCTAACGACCGATCGAATTAATATTAATCGAGACATAAAGTTGCACATAATTGTGGCCATTGAAACTGCTGATTTGTTTGCATATTCCGTTTAATTTAACTGTTCAATGACAATGGATAATCAAATGATTGCTTGACCGCAGAGTCAATAGGAAGTAATGTATTATGAAGATTGTTAAAGCATGATGTTGTAATAATGGAGTCAGAGTAATTCATAAGAATAAACACTCTTTACTATTATTATTATCCGTCAAAATTACCTATGTTTTTTAAAATAATTACAGTAAGAAGCGATGTGACGTCACTCTTTTGATGTCTATTGGTGGTTTCGTAGCAGGTATTCAATGAAAAAATATGAAGATCAAAATTTGAATGATCAAAATCGATGAATGTTGAATGGGCTTGAGGCCAGATGACAAAGTCGAATAAAAAACAAAAATCGGAGAAGAAAAATAGTAAATAGGTAAAACCTACTTAACTTAGGTTTAGGAACGGTGAAGAAGATGTCAGACTGGCCGACTCGTGATCCGAGGTTCGATTGTGGTGAACCCATTCGTAACGCAAGCATAATGTTATTATTTAGCTTACCCGGGCTTATTTTATTATTAACGGGCTTATTAGACTTGTTAATATTCTTTTTAAAATGAAAAAAAGGTCTTGTACCTCTCGAACAATAAATCCGTATTTATTACATAGGCATAATATTAAATAATATGGTCCCCTGATTCCAAACGGGTCATATAAACATCGAGCGCAGTTCTAGAGCTGATTTGCTTAGTATCCATTGTTCCAGGCAATAAAAGCAATCGGCATACTAATATTTCAATTTCCTGTCGACATGAATATTGTATTGATAAAGACTGACCCCCATTAACATACAAAAAGTTAGAATGTGCAGGATGTTGACGCGCATTTCTCTAATTATTTGACCCTTTCCAATCAGGACAATACTATTAAATGAATTAAAGCTGAATAATAAATGTCATGTCGATATACTTGAATAAATAAAAGCTATTCAGGTAGAGTTACACGATTCTGAAACGTCTAGTGGCAAAAAATCGGAACTAAAACCTAGTATTGATAACCAAACCAAACCATCCAGTTAAATGTGATAGTTAAATGGGAAACTTCAGTGTTGTCCAATCGGAATTATTATCCCAGTAGGTATTGATATCAACATCCTCCTATCAATGTCATATCTGGAACAGCTTAATATTGGACAACTATACTTACGCCCGTATTCACAAACGATACTTGCTTAAGTGAAGCAGCAAATCCAACGCACAGTGTTGAATAGAGCTCTGTGACTGGTTTGTGTGACATCCTGTGCGTCCACGCGCACTGTGACACCTCATAGTAATGTTTGTGAATAAGGGCGTTAATTATTTTGAAATAAATTACTTTGGTAGAGTTCTAACTTCTTGCCAGTTGATCACATAATAAAATATCAGGTGTTACATTCTAAAAAAAAATAATCTGATTCTCCACCAAAGTTCAGTAGAATTTTCCAAATATTCTGTCATTTTATTGTCACTTCATTTAATTTTCATACATTACACGCACTTTAACGGTTCTTAGAAAGCATTCTAGTT